AATAAATAAATATGGATGACAACCGACAGATTTTATAACTTAGGAACTTGCCTTATAAGATAAACGATATAAAGTGTTAAAGAGTTGCGTAATTAGGACCTGTTCCAGCGGTCACAGGGATGGGAAAGCGGGACGGGATCGGTGGAACTATGCGGAAGGAAGGCAGTGGCCGGCCAACATTGCAAGCCGTTAGCTGCAGTGTTGGCCGGCCACTACTCCGGATGCCAGCGCAGTAAGTCCGCCAACCCTCCGAGGTCCACATGACGACTGCGGCGGAGTGGTAGGGGCTGAGGGAGATCAAGGGAGCTTATATGTCTATCAATGAACTAGGACTGCATTGGAGGCTTCGGGATACACCATACGTCGACTTCGATACCCTTAGTAGGGGATCCCGAGTGCGATCCAAGCTACCCAGTCACTTCCAGGGCCAGCTTATGGGACTCGACCGGGATTTTTGTCGGGATCAAGTCCTAGCCAGTTCCGAACCGAAAACTGACCCCCACTCCCGGACAGTTCCGCTTGGTCAGAGGCCACGTAACCCCACTACACCGACCTGTCCGTAGCAATAAAATTATTGATTGTGTATATAATTGAGTCATTCAGTTTGTAAAGCCAAAAGCCTGTAAAACCAAGTCTGTATGCAGTGCACCAAATTTTTAAAAAGATAAAAAATATATTTGCATTCCAGCCCAAGAACTCGTTCTTCTGTAGTAATCCCCAAATCTGTTTACATCGGCTCGTCCCACCACTCATTGAGCGGGCTTCAAATGCTTTCACTATACGATCGCTTCAAATTCCCAAATACGACACTATTGTTGGACTTTGTCCACCGATGCTGATTACGATGCCATTCAATTTCGCACGAGATCGGCTTGCATATTTCAGAGTTCTGTGGTCTTTATTGGTATTGCTGCAGCGTCACGGACAAAAGAGGCGATCCTCTATCAGCCGACAGCAGCGGTGTGAACTCTTATTATCATGTGAGGACACGTCATTTCTGATGTGCGAGCATTTATTGTTGCAAATATTTGTGCAGAGGCAAGGCCCAAAACCGATATAAAAGCATTGGCTCGACTGATCTGAGAGGAACACTCGACCATCCCATCCGTCTTTCCTTGCTGAATATTACTGTATTCCGTTTTGGGATATGGGACTCACTTCTGTTCGTTCCTCATTACATCTGGCGACTTGGGCGCAGCGGTCACAGTAGTCGGTGCTGGTTTACCTTGCTTTAGGTCCTGCTACCATTACCGGACCGTCAACCCGTATGTCGAATTAGTCGTGATAGGTTTTCACAGAGGAAAAAAAACAACCGGCTTTTTACCTTCCCGTGCGGAGTCGAAGACGCTCGATACCCTCCTATGGCTCCGACTGAAAGCTGAATGTACGGTTATCTCAGGGGAAATTTCTTGCTCTCATTTCGCCCTCATCTTGAGTTATTGATTTTGCTGTGGAGCTGGAGTGTAACGGTAAGCGATTGTAAAACAATCCGATGGCGAGTGATTTTTCAGTGTTGAGCTTTTCCACTGGATTATTAAAGACCGAAGTGTCGTGTGGGTTCACGAAAATACTGTGCATGTCAGAGCCTCGCCCTACCCGTGCCTCTTCTTTTTATCCTGCTTTCTTCTGGGCAATTGTTCAGGTATTCGTCTGTTGAAAGTGTCAATCAGAAGTCACGAATGAGTCATTTCGGTAGGTAGAGAAATGGGTGTGTCTCATTCATCCCTCCTGATTGCTATAAAATCGGACACTTCTTCCACGTTCAATATCAAATGTCAAACTTCGGTTAGAACTACCCTCTCTCCCGTAGAAGAGTCTTTTTTCATGAAACCCTTCCCAGACCTACTCTTGTAGTCTTACGTTAGTTCCTGTTATCCATTCCTTCAACCCACTTTCTACCTCCAAAAAACTAATCGATGTGAGGAAGTTGTTGGATGGGAGATGGGGGGCGCGGGTGTTTTTACTTTTGAGTCATTTTACCAGACCAGCCCCCCCTTCCTCTCCGAAAACTACAAACACGACGTTACTCGTTGAATATTGTCCAGGGAAGGTTCATCCTATATTCCCGCAAATTTTCAACTTCCTTTTTTTACCTCAAATTTCATAAACTGGTCATTGTGCTCTCGTCTGAAAGCGCTTTTTGGTATGGAGTTCTTATTTCTTGCCCCGTTAGAATAAGTACGTCACTGCTGCCGTTTACTGCTCTTAGAAGATTTAATTACCCGGTTTTTCTCTCTGTTGAAATTCTTTTGCCAATCTTTCTATTGATCACCGCCTGCGCATCACCCCTTGATTTTGAACTTTCGAACAAGTTTTTTTTTTCAGATGCAATTTTCACTGCTACTTCTCCTTAGCTTAGTCGCCTCGTCTTATGCCCTCCTAGGAATCGGAAGGACTCAGTCAGTGGCCGTTACAGGGCGATTGATCTGTAATGGGCAGCCAGCCAGCAATGTCAAGGTGAAGCTGTACGAAAAAGAAGCCAGTAAGTCACATTTTAGTTTTCCTTATCAGCTGATCAAGTGATATATTTCTGATGTACTAGTGTTATTCATTTAGCATTCGACGTGAAAATGGACGAAGGCAAAACGAATCAAAATGGAGAATTCCGACTGTCTGGATCGAAAAGGGAGATCTCAACTATAGATCCAAAAGTTAACGTCTACCACAAGTGCAATTACAATGGAGTAGGTTTCAATTTAGAGACAAGCACTCTTACCCCACTAACTCTCCATATTTTAGCCCTGCTATCGTAAATTTGGAATCACCATTCCGGATAGCTACGTGACCCGAGGGGCAAATCCGCAGAAGACTTTTGATATCGGGACGATCAATCTTGCCAATCGTTTCACCGGTGAAACGACAGACTGTATAAATTAAATTGTATTATTGTATTGAATTCATTGTACATATTACATAATATTGAAATAAAATTTGCTTACATCAGGGAACGAGACTTGTTTTTGAACCTCCTTACATTCATTCTTGAGATAACTGATGAACCAGTGATGGGTGGCGAAGATGCTTTAATAGAGTTATCAGCCAGAAGTTTTACGTTGGCTGTGCGCATCACGGCTTTGCAATAGATAGGCTTTAGGTTGTGGAGGATGTAGGGGGTAAACACTAAGGTGGGATACCGTACCCCATGAAGAGGGGGAAAAGCGAGGCAAGAGAGTATGGCAGACGAAGCGAGATGGCAGACA